TTTGCAAAGATTTTCTCCCAGTCTGTGACTGTCTTCTCATTCTCTTATGTTGTCTTTTGCAGAGCAGAAGTTTTAATTTTAATGAAGTCCAGCTTCTCATGTATTTATTTCATGGATCTTATCTTTAGTGTAGTATCCAAAAAGACATCACCACACCCAAGGTTTTTAGGTTTTCTTTTTCTGTTATCTTGTAGGAGTTTTATAGTTTTGCATCTTACATTTATGTCTATGTCCCATTATGAATTAATTTTTGTTAAGGGGGTAAGGTTTGTGTCTAGATTCATTTCTTATTTTTATTTTTTGTATGTGGGTGTCCAGTAGTTCCAGCAACATTTGTTGAAGAGACTATATCCACTCCATTGTATTGCCTTTGCTCCTTTGTCAAAGATCTATTGACTATATTTATATGGGTCCATTTCTGGGCTCTTTATTCTGTTCCGTTAATTTATTTATCTTTTCTTTTGTCTCTTCCTATTTTACTGAGAGTTTTTATTATGAATGGTTGTTGGATTTTGGCAAAAGCTTTTACTCTATCTATTGATATGATCATAAGGTTTTTCTTATTTAGTCTCATGTGATGGATTACATTAATTGATTTTCTTTTTTTTAACTTTATTTTTGTTGTTGACACATATTACAGATGTCCCCATTTTCCCTTCCTTTCCCCACCTCTACCCAGTTCCCAAGCCCTCTTCCCTCTGGCCATGACCACACTGTAGTCTGTGTCTATGGATTATGCATATATATACTTTGGCTAATCCCTTCACCTTCTTTCATCCAGTCCTCTCTACCCCCTCCACTGTGACAGCTGTCTGTCTGTTCCATGTATCCATGCCTCTTTCTATTTTGTTCATCAGTTTATTTTGTTCATTAGATTCCACATATAAGTGAGATCATATGGTATTTGTCTTTCTCTGACTGGCTTAGCTCACTTAGCATAATGAACCAGTCTTACATACTTGGGATAAATCCCACTTGACTGTGGTGTATAATTCTTTTTATACATTGTCAAATTAAATTTGTTAATATTTAATATTTTGTTGAGGTTTTTACATCTCTGTTCATGAGAGATATTCATCTATAGTTTTATTTTCTTATGATGTCTTTGTCTGATTTTGGTATTAAGGTAATACTGGCTTCATAGAATAAGTAAAAGAGCATTCCTTCTGCTTCTATCCTCTGAAATTGTAGAGAATTGGTATTACTTCTTCCTTAAATGTTTGGTAGAATTCACCAGTAAACCCATCTGGGCCTGGTGCTTTTTGTTTTGGAAGATTTTAATTATTAATTAGTCACTTGATTTCTTTAATAAATATAAGTCTATTCAGATTGTCTATTTTTTCTTGTGGAAGTTTTGGCAGCTTATGTCTTTCAAGGATTTGGTCTCTTTCATCTAGGTTATCAGATTTGTGGGCACAGAGTATTACATAGTATTTCTTATTATCCTTTTAATGTCTGTAGGATCTGTGGTGATGTCCCTGCTTTCATTTGTGATATTGGTATTGATATAGTTGAATCAATATCTACCATATTCACTCTTGTTTTCTATTTGTTGCCCATGTTCTTTGTTCCTATTTTGTCCACTCTTTTTCTGCCTTTCTTTATTATGTTGAATTTTTCAATCCATGAACACAGAATGTCTGTCCATTTATTTAGATCTTTGATTTATTTCATCAGCATTTTATCGTTTTCAGCATACTACCCTGTATCTGTTTTGTTAGATTTTCATGTATTTCATTTTATTTGAGCAATTGTAAATGGTATTGTATTTTTAGTTTTAGATTTCATGTGTTTGTTGCCACTAATAGAAATACTGAGTTTTATATGTGTATCTTGTATCCTATGACTGGCTGATCTCACTTACTAAATTGAGTAGGGTTTTGTGTGTGTGTGTGTGTGTGTGTGTGTGTGTGTGTGTATTCCTTGGGATTTTCTATGTAGATCATCATGTCATCTGCAAATGGAGAGGTTTTTTTCTTCTATTCCAATTTCTGTGCCATTTATTTTATTTTATTGCCTTATTGTGCGGGCTAAAACTTCCAGCACTGTGTGTAACAGTATAAGATTGGACATTCTTACTTTTTCCTAATCTTAGAGGGAAAGATTTTAGCCTCTCACTGACAAGTATGATGTTAAGTGTAAGTTTTCTTGTATATATTCTTTATCAAGTTGAGGAAGCGTCTCTCTATATTATTTGAGAGGGTTTTTTTTTTTTTACCATGATGAATGGGTATTGGTTTTGTCAAACATTTTTTCTGTATCAGTTGATATATGATCATGTGGTTTTTCTTCTTTTGTCTATTATTTGAGTTTCTTAAAAATTTATCTTTATTGTTGAAAATATTACAGATGTCCCCTTTTTCCCCCATTAACCCCTTCCACCCCCCACCTACTCCCTGCTCCAGGTGTATTAATTGATTTTTGAATATTGAATCAGCCTTTGTTCCCCTCAGTTTTTTATAAGAGCAGTTGCTATATAGTAAAGGAGAGTGGGAAGGGAGGCTGGGAAGAGAGAGAGAAAGACAAATGGACAAAACAAGTGTCTTTACTTTTCACTCTCCTTCTGACAGGGTGTGACCCTGAGACAAATTTCCTTGTGACAGTAATTTCTTAGGAAGTGTTCCCAGGAAAAACCAACGGGCAAATGGGGCAGTATGACTGGGATGAGGAGGCCAAGTCAGGATGTGAGATCAAAGTCCCATGGAGAAGTGTTCTGGAGAGAGTGTGAACCACACCTCAAAGTTTTCCCCATCAGGAGCAAAGGAGCAGGAGCAGCTTACTGGTGTGAAATGGCTGGAGAAAACTGGGATTTTTGTTTGGGACAAATTAAAGTGAGAACAGCATGATAAAAATCAATCAATTTGTGTAGGTGTAGAAAGAGAGTACCGAGAATTGGAACTTCCTTCCAGCCATTGTTTTATCTGGGAAATCTGGCACAGCCTTCAGGGTATGACACACAAGAGAGAAATCTGAGTAATATTAGGAAAGAATTGAGAAGTCTCAAAACAAGGTTAATGAACTCAAGTGCCAGGCACATAGTGTCATTGGTGTCACAGAGAAAAGAGGTCATTTCATTATCCTATGTTAAACCCACACATTTCATGTGGATGAGCAGCTTTCTCTGGGTCATGGTTTTGCTCATCAAAGATTTAGATCCTGTATCTTTTGAAAAACAGTGTAACCAGCATACTGAAAAAGCATACCTCATGGTTCAGTAAAAATGCTGCTGTGCTTCTTCCACTGTCTTTTCACAACTTAGTCTCTGGGGTCATCTTTCTTGCTTGTGCATAAATATTCTAATAGCCTAAAATTTCCTGGTCATTCTTAGGTGGCAGATGATCTGTCACTAAGTCCCAAACACTGTCCAGATGCAGAAATTAGAAAATCCAGTCCTGTGTGATACTTAAAACTTTGAACTTAATTTACTATTAAATCTCCCTCCTTCCCCCTCTACCCTTATTTCTCCAAGTTTGGGTTGGCTTCTCAGGATGGAAACCTGCAGTGAAGTTGGAGGTAGTGGTCCTTCCATTTCTCCCCTCATATTTCTAGTCTTCCCCTTCCATCTTGAGAGCTGCTATCTCAACCCCACTAGGTCCAGTGGGACTGGGTGAGGCAGGGAGGGGTGACACACAGGGCAGTTTTTACTTGAACCAGTGCTCTTGTCATTTCATCTCACTTGAATCTAGCACATGCCTTTTTCCCCTGAGATGTCATTTTCCTGGACTCTTCAGAGTTTTCTCACTGTTTTTCTTTCTCCTACAATTCCCTTGACTCTGCAGGATGTTTTTCTTATTTTTCTGTTCTGGTGGTCACTTGTGGCTCCTTCCTCAGCCCCTGGACATTGAGAAGTTCATCTCCAAACTCCTCCAGGTGGCTCTACTGGTCAGAACCCAAGATAGTCCCCATACTGGCTCATTCTGTGTCTCAGGGCCCATGGTTCTTCCAGGGAACACTCATATATCCCTTGCCTGGGACTGACGTGGGTCCCAAGGCAGCAGCACTCTTCTGGTTCTGACTCCAAAGCAGTCAGTTCTCTTGCCTTTCTGATTGCCACCTGGTAGGAGTTAGACTCCAGACAGTGTCAATTTCAATTTTCTCAAGAGTCAGTTGGGCACCAGCCTCTAAACCTCAGCCTCAGGAAACACATCTACTGCTCTCCGAGGGACCTTCCTTCCTTAGCTCAGGGTTAGAGGGTTGCACCTCCTCCCAACTCCCTGAGAGCAGGAGGGCCTGGCAAAATAATGCCCACCTCCCCCCCAAACACACACTTCCAAGAAATCTCTTCTCTGATATTTTTTAATCTCCATTTCCTGACACTTCTTTTCTCTCCTTGATATAGCTGAGAAGTCCTAGAGGAGCCCACAGTTTCTTGAGACCACTTACTTTGAAAATCTTCATAACATGGTTTGGCATCTTTCTTTGGAATTTTACATCTATTATGTATTGGTGCCTGGTGGAAACTTCAGTTTTAAGATCCTATTACACAAGTAATAAACAACAAACATGATTCATGGGCCAATCCTTGAACCACAGTCCAGTGGTATAATATCTGTCTCTACTAAATATTTTGATTTCTGAGTGTGTTACGTAAAAAAAAGAAAAAAGAAAAAAGGGGGACAACTCTTCAAAGAGTCTTATTTCATCTTTGACCACCTATGTTATTTAGCACTTGTTAACTAGAGCTATAGGCATACAGAGTTCATAGAATAATTTGGAATGAAATACCTTATTGAGTGGATATTTTTAATATGGTAATAGATTTATCCCCAAGGACATCAAGTGTTCTTGACCACTAAGACCTCTTCCAGCACATGAAAGTGGTGAGTCCATGATTCTCTGGCTGTACAAGAGGGCAGGAAAGAAAGTGGCTTTGCAATACTGAGCTGTTAGGAGACAAATTCTCCCAAATTAACTCCCTCACCAGCTGAGCCCTCTAAACCCAGACTTCATGGGCACCATAATAGCATGTTTCAGTGAGGTCTGAAGGGAGGAGAGGGTGGTGCATGGTTCTATTTTCTGAGATCAGAATATCCTTACAGGGAAGGTTGAGTCCAAAGCAGAGAGAAGGGAAATAAAAATACCAGTCTTTGGTCCCCAGATGTGGCATAACTGGATTGTATGTGTTGCTGGTTGGCTCTGACCTTTGCAGTCAAGATTGAGAGCCAGAAAGACTGTGTATTGTAGGGATTTTTCCCTTTTTTGTTTGTTTGTATAAAACCAGGGAGGGAAATAGTTGAGTAAAATCCAAGAGAGTTTCTTTAATTTCACTTCTCCTGAGACGTGAATCATGAAACCGAAAGGCACTTGCTTGATGTTTGATTTGTTAAAGTGGTGACTCCAAGCTGCTGTCTCTTAGCCTTTTTGAACCTGTACCCAGTTTTGATAAGCATAAAAGTTTCCCATTTCCTGCAAGAGTCTGATTTTCTCCCTCCTCCTCACTGTGCAGCCTCCTTGAGATGTATATGCTTTGTGAAGTCATGGCAGTGGAGAAGATGTTATCAAGCTTTACTTGCTATAATTTTTGTTGCACAAACAATAGGCATTTGTTGGCCTTCCAAATATATAATCAGGTATTGTATAAATGGATGTGCTTTTTCACTCTTCATTACACCCTTTAATGCTAGTATATCACTGTCAGTACAAAAGGCCCTACAACTTCAGAGAACCCATAGATCTCCTGGAGCTCATGCATGAGCTCTCAAGGGACTATTTCTCCCAACCCTAGATGACCTCATGGGCCACGCTCTCTCAAGATACCTTTGTTGAATTCACCTCTCACTTACCAAAAAACGGGGCCTGAAGCAAGAGTAAGTGCCTCACATTACGTCTCAGGACCTAAGGTGGAAAATGGAATTTAGCCTCCATGATTGTTATCTAAAAACAGGTTTCCAGGTCAGAGAATCTTGGAAAATGGGACAATGAGACTGCAGGTATATTCTGAGGAAGAAGTTGTTTGCTAGGACCCATCTCTTGTCAGACTCAGTTTTTACAGAGGGTGAACCTGACAATCTCCTTGTTTGCTCAGGGTACTCTTGCCCCTAAACTTTCCCCTATAAATCACCAGTGCACAGTGGGATAACGTAATTTTTTATTTTTTTCCATGGAGCTTGGGGGAATGGGCAGTAGGGATTTGATAAATCTACCTGTATACAGGATAATTCAAAAAGTAAAATACAAGTTGTTTTGTTAGGCATTTGCCCACTTTGTTTACACCCCAAGAATGTGCAAAATAAAGCATTCTGTATGTTTCCAACCAGGAAGAAGAGGAAACATGAGCAAAAGATAAAAATGTAGACATTCTTCAGCTCACTTGCATTTCGAAGGAAGATAAAAGCAATAGACCATACCCAAAGTAGTAATCCCATTTTAAAAAGACTTGGTTTTCAAAAGCCTGGCATTGCATATTGGTTATTTTTGTTCCTATTTTGTTTGTAAAAGGTTTTAAAATCATATGATGTAATGAAGTAAATATTATTTTGTGGTTGAAAATTAAATAGTTCTTTTGTATTTTAGGTCTTGTGAGAATTGGAGTGTTTGTGTGTTATGAGGAGGGCAGCAAGGAAGATGAGGGGAAAACATTCTAGCTCCTTCCTGTATATAATTATAAGCCATAATCACTCAGTATTTTTTTTCTTCCACTGGTTTGAGATAAAAATAAATAGATTTTTCCCAAAAATGTATTTTAGGGTCCTGTTAGCGTCTCAGATGGAACCAACATTTGCCAGGAATGTTTTCCCTTGTTTTGATGAACCAGCTCTGAAGGCAACTTTTAATATTACAATTATTCATCATCCAAGTTATGTGGCTCTTTCCAACATGCCAAAGCTAGGTAAGTAATGTTTCCTGTCATCTCATATATATACACACACACATATATACATATATATGGCCATATTTCATCATTTTTATGGTTGAGTAGTATTTCATCGTGTGTGTGTGTATGTATACATATATATACATACACACACACACACATATATATATATCTCGCATCTTTTTTATACAATAGCCCATCGAAGGACACTTAGGTTGTTTCCATGTCTTGAATTCTTTCTTTTTGTATTAGAAGCTGGGACATTATGCTGTTCTTATACATTGGCAACCTGTCTGTCCATTAGTTTGAGCTTCAACTATTAATCATAAGAGATAATAATAAGCTAGTGAACTTGGTCTGAATCTGGTGCAAAAGTGTGTTTTATTTAGCTCACATGACTCTTTTCTTTTGATTGAATTACTTTTAAAAATTCAGAGATTTCTCATAAAAATAAAAATTCTTACTCCCTTGAAAACTTAAAAGATCTAACAACACTGAGCCTGCAGTTCTTATAGGACAGCACGATTTACAACTGAAAAGAGGCCGCCTCCTGCAGACTCCCTAGCCTGTGCTCCCTAGCTTGCCAGGATCCCCACCAATCCCTCTCAGTGTACACTGGCCTGTTTTACATCAAGGACCTGGCCCTCGCAGGCAGTTGAATTTGTGATTTCAGGTTTAAAGGCTCCAGCCTCTTTTCAATGAAGACCTAGCTGAAACCTGAGATTGGCAGAATTGTACCTTGTTGACCTACCATGGGCCTGGGATGCTCTTGATTAAATCTGTGAGCAATGGGCTGGAGTAGAAAACTAGATGTGGATGGAAAACAGAGGCAGCAGATCGTGGGCCTAACTTACAGTGCTCATGGATGTGGCCCTCAGTCGAGACCACATTACTCAGCATACTAATTCAGGACTAAGACGTTGTCCTTAGATCTTCCTGATGTGGTTTTGATAGCTTAAGAGTAGAGAAATCCAAACTGCTAGACCTTGGGGAGTAGTTGGGACAAAGTAGCCAGGTGACAGTCAACTTGACAAATTAATTTAAAGGTAGATATTATTACTTAGGTTTATGGTGATTTGGGACTAAAATTTCTCCAGGTCAGTCTGAAAAAGAAGATGTGAATGGAAGCAAATGGATGGTTACCACCTTTTCCATCACACCCCACATGCCAACTTATTTAACTGCGTTTGCTGTCTGTGACTATGACCATGTCACCACAATGGAAAGGGGCAAGGAGGTGAGTAAGGAAGTGTCCAGGTAAGGGTACATTTGTACTGGCTGTGGAGTGTTCATCCACTCTTTCCGCACCCGGGGGTATGGCTACACATCCCATCGTCACCTCTTGGTCTGGCTCCCACTTTTTCCAAGCCCTTTTAAAGCTCTCAGTGTGGCTTTGAGGAATGAGACATAACAATTCCTGCTGTAGCTCGGTGGAGGGGTTTCCATGGAAGGCTAAACATTAAGCCCACTCAAGGTAGGTTCTGAGCCCTCTCTTCCCAGGCTGCCTTTCCGAGGGCAAGAGAGAATAGGGAAAGCTGACATACTAGCTCTTTGAAGCTCAGGTTTACCCGTTTACCTTGCTCACAGTGTTCATGCAGCCTTGCAGCTGGGCGATGCTCAGTGTGGCATGAGCACAGACAGCCGGGGGGAGTGCTGCGGCTGAGATGGAGCCTGCAGGTTGAGCACGGTCCCTGCTGAGAAGCAGGGCTGCTGGGTTCCTAGGCTCTGGGCATGCAGCGCTTCCCCAGAGTTGTATAAAGTCAGTGCTCTGCCCTGAAATACCTAGTTTTCACCCATTTATATCCTCATAACATCATAATCCTTAAGGAAAATACCCAGGTTATTGTGCCAGTACTTTGTATACTGGTTCACTCCCTAAGCTAGAGTGTGGAGGTGCGTAAGGCCACTGCTGTCTGCAGTCTCAGCTCTTTCTGGTCGGATCGACCTCACGGGCCGAGGAAGAAGAGGCCCTCCAGCTGGCGGAGGCTCTCTCTTGGGCCCCCACTTTATCTCCTACTTGTGGAGACAAGGAAGCTGTGGATGAGCCAAGCCTGTCATCAGGGGGAGAATTACTCAAAGTTGCTCCTCCTGCACTCCTAACCTAACGATGAAATAGAAATACTGTGCTGGACGCAGACAACACCTCGTTATCTTCCTCAGCTGTTGTCCCCAGCCTGATTTTCCACCTGGCAAATCCTTGATATTTACAGACATAACACTGGCCACATCAAATGTTCATGACATCTATATTGATCAACATTCTCGGGCACAGTTTGAAAGCACATGCTCTGTGTCTGGCGTGAAGGAGTGGGTCCCAGAGCTCACAAGTGACACAAGGTGCTCTGTCAGCACCCGCATCTCAAGTGGCTTGTTGCTCTTAATGCTACTGCACAGGGAACAATTCTCATAAAAGTATCAAATCTGTTTCTTAGTGAAAGATCACCCTGAAAAGAAAGCCAACTGCTGTAGAAGCAAAGAAAAAATGGAAATGCCTAAGAAAGCAATGTTGTCAGCCAGAAAATTGAAATTTGGGATTGAGTTTATCAGTGGAATGTTGCATTTGGCTAAGGCTCAGCGCTACAAATGAAGGAGTCCACCATATACTCCACAGGAGAGCTAGAATGTACTCTTGGAATTAGGCCCAGACTATATAAAAGTTGCTCATCGAGTAGGGGAAAATTTAGTGAAATTGAAAATGTGATTAATGTGTGGCGCGAGGATAAACATAGAAAACAGAACTAGGGTTGGAGATAACATATTCTGAGTAGACCTTAGCACACATGGGCATGTGTAAAGATATTCCTCTCTCTTAGAGGCTGACGTCAGCTGTGTGTCAGGAGGGCCACAAGAACACACTGGTGCACTGGCTGTGATTTTGAAGGAACTTTATGGCTGCATCTCCAAGTACTCCTTGCTGCCTTACCAGGGGCCACGCACTCCTCCCACCCAGCTTAAAATATCCATTATTTGCCCACCTTTTGGCTTATAGAATGGTGGTTGTGGGAGGAGCTTTATAAACTCAAAATTAACATACAGGCTTTAATTGTTATGTCCCAAAATTTAAGTGAATTAAAATGCATTCATTATCTTGAATGTGGGGAGAGGAGACTGTTCTTTCCACTCAGTAGTGTGGTTTTGGTTTACCAGTCTTCCTGTTGCCTCAGAAATTAGAACTTGAGTGGGGGAGGGTAAGTTTATTGCAGGAGCAGGGTTGAGCCTTGGGCCCCTCTTTCCCAGGGTAATGAGACCTCTGCAGCAAGGGCAATGTTGGAAGGAATGAGGGGATCAATGCAAGAGGCTTCCAAAACAGGTGGTTGCATTTTGTGAAAGGGGAGCATTCCTGAAGATCTCATATAATTCAAAATTTACATAATTCAAGACAAATTTTTCTAGCACAAATGAAAGCAAAGGGAAATGAATGTGTTCTTGGAGTACAATAATCTGCAAATATTGTGCTGTTTTTCATTTCCTTAGAATTTTCTCTAATGTTTTGCAGAGAGCTCTTTCTCAAATTAACTGTACTCACATCACGACAATTATTTTAATTCCCTCATCTCCCTCTAACTTTCGTTCCAGGGTTATTGAGTTTCATACATGTTCTTTAGCATTAACACTAGCAACTCCATTAAAAAGTGCTTAGATGGCATTGTTCTGGGGTATAAAATAATTTCATATTAAAATAATGATGAATGTTAAAACAACAGCAAATTACAGTAGTCACCAGAGTCATGCAAGAAGCTTCCAAGTGCCCAAACAACAACATGGTTACATTAAACTAACAATACAGAGCAGGGATTTCTTTTTACCAACTAAAGTGCAAGTGTCATAAACAGAGAATATAGTTTACTTGCTTCAACAACTATAAAATCATGACTTTTAAAAAAACATATATGTCTTTTTGATTTCAGAGAGAGGAAGGGAGAGGGAGAGAGAGATAGAAACATCAATGATGAGAGAGTATTGATCGGCTGCCTCCTTCACACCTCCTAGTGGGGAATGATCCTGCAACCCCGGCAGGTGCCCTGACCAGGAATCAAACTGTGATCTCCTGGATCATAGGTCAACACTCAGCCACTGAGCCACGCTGGCCGGGCAAATCAGAAGACTTTTGATGAACTTTTTAAAATTAGGGAAATTAACCGTATTGCATGTTTTGAAAATAAGATGGGACTATTAATGGGACTTCATTGACAAACCATTTTAAATTGGCATGATTCAAGTTTGTTTAATATGTACCATACTGTATAACCCCCACTAACTGCACAATTCTGTTTTGGAACAATCAAAATATGTCCAGAACAGGGAAATAAGGGCCCAAGGTGCCCATTTACTCTAACGTACAATCTACATTTTCCATGAGGGTAGGCACAGATTGTTTTGGGGTTATAGTAGTTATACATGTTATTGCAAATGATTGAAATAACACACTTTCTGGGGAAGTCACTGTTCACAACTTAGTGAGGAGCCTTCTGGGCTTTTCTCAGCAGGCATATACATTTAGACATTTTGTTATGCGTTTTCTTTTGAAAAGTGTGGCTTTGGCTGTGGAGTATCGGGGAACTGGAACAAGTAGGCTGCCACTTTCCAATATTACTACTTCTTTTCCTAATCACTTCACAATTGTTTTGATTTAGATACGCATTTGGGCCCGGAAAGATGCCATCGCAAATGGATATGCAGACTTTGCTTTGAACATCACAGGTCCCATCTTCTCTTTCCTGGAAGATTTATTTAATATTAGTTACCCTCTTCCAAAAACAGGTGAGTCATCTTCCCTTCCAGTGCAGTTGATTTACTATTATGGGGGCTCCAAGTTGAGGTCAAGTGTATCCAAGGACCCACTGTCACTATTTAGTTGCTATTTGGAGTTAGTTCCATCCCCTTCTGAACACATAGAGTTCTGTCTTCTCTTTCTCTGTGTGGTTTCATGTGCCCAGCAGGTATTCAGAGAGTGCTCAGGCTTTAGATCCCTCCCAGGTACTAACTAGCAGCCTCACATCCTCCAGACCCTGCCTTCTCTCTTGCATCCTGTTCTTTCCTCACATCAAGCAAGTGTGAAATGCAAGGCTCTGGATCCTTTTAGCAGGGCTATGTGAATTATTCCAGTTACCATTAGTAAGGTTTTGTTGTTTTTTTAAAAATATTCTTTAGCTCTGAGTCATTGGATTAGGATTTAAGAGCTCCATCTGTGAATTTTTGCTATATAAAATTGGAATCATGTGAGAATATAATATGATCCTTGAGGAAATATGTAAACATTTTATCTCTTATAGATCTATGCAGTATGTCCTTAAAATTGTGTGAGCCACTCAGCTTAGAAAGTTGTGTTTTTTCTCTCTAAAATGAGGGTATCATGTAAATGTATTTTGTTCCTCTGACATGGATTGGTGGGTGGGAGGGGAGTGGGTGGAAGAAAAGAAAGGTTAGAAGAATGAGAAACCTAGGTTAAGGCAACTAAGTTTGTCCCAAGATAATAGAGCATTATCTATGGAGGCTATGTAATGACCTGGGTACACACCTTATTACACACTGTCAACTTCAACCATGTGTAAGGTCAACTTAAATGATTGAACTTAGCACAGCAGAGAATATTCACTAGGCAGATGTAGCATGTATTATAAAAATAATGTTTCTTCTATTAGCAAAAGGAAATTAAAAACACTTTTATTGTTCTAGTTATAAAAATAATAAATGATCACACTGTAGAAAACTTGGAAAAACAGGGAAAAGCACAAAAAAGAGAAGAAAAGTCTCCTGTAATGCTGCCACACATATAACCATGGCTGACATTGGTGTATATCCCAGTGCCTGTCAGTCTGGATCTCTGTCTTTCTCTGCATTTGCTTCTTTGTGCGTGTGTGTGTGCGTGTGTGTGTGTGTGCGTGCGTGTGTGTGTGTGTGTGTGTGTCTTCACCCAAAGACATGTTTCTTGATTTTAGAGAGCGGCAGGGAGACAGAGAGAGAGAGGGGGAGAGAGAGAAACGTGAATGTAAGAGAAAAACATTGTTCCATTGCCTACTATATGCCCCCTGATGGGGGATTAAACCTGCAACCTAGGTATGTGCACTGACCAGGAATCGAACCCACAACCGTTTGGTGTACAGGAGCTCCAGCCAATGGGGCCACCTTTGTTTTTGGCAAAGATGGCAACATAGAGTTGACACTGTTCTTTGAATGACTTTTTTTTGTATGTAGTGATATGATCCAGATAACTCAATATTCTTTTTTGTCATTTTTAAGACATAGAATGCCTACATAGAAAGTTGATAGAATACTTTATTTACTTCTCAGTGGTTGAATATTTGGACTGCTTCTACCACTTTGTGGTGGCTACTTTCAGAACACTAAAGAAAACCATCGTAAGAAAATGTTTACAAATATCTGTGGCCTGGCCGGGCGTGGCTCAGCGGTTGAGGGTCGACCTAGGATCCAGGCGATCGGGGTTCGATTCCCAGTCAGGGCTCATGCCCGGGTTGTGGGCTTGATCCCCAGTCGGGAGCGTGCAGGAGGCAGCTGATCAATGACTCTCTCATCATTGATGTTTCTATCTCTCTCTCTCCCTCTCCTTTCCTCTCTCTGAAATCAATAAAGATATATTTTAAAAAACAACAACAAAAACCAAATATCTGTGCTCTTTGTTGTAGTATAAATTCCAAAAGTTGAATGATTTAGTCAAAGGATAGGAACATTTCTAAAGGTTATGAAGCATTTTGCTGACTGCTTCCGAAAGACTGCAGCAGTTCACACCTCACCAGCCAGCTATGTGTCACTTTTCCTATAATTATTAATCCTAATTATTAATGCTAGTGCTAACCACTACTAATTAGTAAGCTTCACATACATTTGAAGAGTGTTATATCATTTTTTAAAATCTTTGGTTTTGATAACTAAAGAAATTGAACATTTTAAATAAGAATTTTGGCTGTTTCAATGATTTCTTTAATGAGTTGTTCATACTTTTTTAATTTGTCAGAGTTCTTTACTGAAAAAATATTGTCTAGTTATGATATATGCTGCAGATACTTTACACAGTTTGTGGTTTGCCTTTCAAATTTGTTTATGGTGTCTTTAGTGAACTAAATATTTAATTTTAAATAGATTTTATTTTTTAGAGAGTTCCCATTTACCTCTTCTTCCTCCTCTCCACCCAGCCCCAGTTTTTGCTATTAACATCTTGCATCAGTGTGGTACATTTATTATAACTGATGAAGCAATATTGATACATTATTATTAACTAAAGTCTAGAGTTTACATTATGGTTTATTCTGCGTTGTACAGTTCTATGAGTTTTGACAAATGTATAATACATGTATACACCATTATAGCATCATACCAAATAGCTTCACTGCCATAAAATCCATTGTGCTCCACCTATTCGTTCGGCCCCTCCCCTAAGTCCCTGAAAACCACTGATCTTTTCATTGTCTCTATAGTTTTGCCTTTTCTGTAATGATGTATAGTTGGAATTACAACATGGGTAGCTTTTTTTAGACTGACTTCTTTTACTTAGTAATATGCATTTAAGGCTTCTCCATGACCTTTCATAGCTTGATAGATAATTTCTTTTTGTCACTGAATAATACACTATGGATGTCCCACAGTTTGTTTATCCATTCTCCTATTGAAGCACATCATGGTTGCTTCCCATTTTTTGGCAATTATGAATAAAGAGGCAATAAACATTTGTGTGCAAGTTTTTGTATGAACATAAATTTTCAACTCATTGGAGTCAATTCCTAGAAGTTCAATTGCTAGACTGTATGGTCAGCCTATGTTTAACTTTATCAGAAACCCCCAAACTACCTTCCAAGCAGATGTACCATTTTGCATTCCCACCAGCAATGAATGAGAGTTCCTGTTGTTCCAAATCTTCTCCAGTGTTTGGTGTTGTGTTTTGGATTTTAGCCATCCTAATAGATGTGTAGTGGTATCTCATTGCTATTTTTGTTGCATTATTGGTTTGTTTGTTTTTCAGTCCTCACCCAAGGATATTTTTTCCACTGCTTTTCAGAGAGAGTAGAAGGGAGAGAGAGGGAGAGAGAGAGAAACATCGATGTGAGAGAGACACATCGACTGGTTGCCTCTCGCAGGTTTCCCAGCTGTGCCTGGGAATCCAGCCTGCAACTGAGGTATGTGTCCTTGACCGGAATCAAACCTGAGACTCTTTAGTGCAGGGGCCAGCACTCTAACTACTGAGCCAAACCAGCTAGGTCATGTCTTTGGTATTAATCTTTAAAGTCTTCTCTCCTCTCAGATTTTCAATATTCACTTGTATTTTCTTTCAGTAATTGTATGATTTAACTTTGAGATATTTATAACTGGAAATCTCAAATTTTTTGGAAGAGATGATTCTATTTTTTCCTTCATTTAAATCCACTTAGATCTGATTGCCTTGCCTACTTTTGACGACCGTGCAATGGAAAATTGGGGACTATTGGTGTTTGATGAGTCATTATTGTTGCTGCAACAAAATGATGAACTACTAGAAGCAAAGATGGTGATCTCCCACATTGTCTCCCACGAGATCGGACATCAGGCATGTGGTAAAATGTGTTTTCTTATTTCACATGAAGATGTTCTCCAGCTGTTCTACCAAAAATAGCAAAATAATAACAATACCTGCCATACACCAAATTTTAAGAAATTATTCAAAAAAATGGGACAATGAGAGCCTTGGACAACATGGCTCAGTATGGTTGGACTTTGTCCCATGCACCAAAAGGTTGCTGGTTCGATTCCAGGTCAGGGCACATGTCCGGGTTTCGGCCTGTCCCAGGTAGTGGGTGTTCAGGAGGCAGGTGATTGATTTCACACTCTCACATCAATGTTTCTCTCTCTCTCTCTCTCTCTCCCCCTTCCTTTCTCTCTAAAATCAATTTTAAAAAAAAGAAAAAGGGGAGGACAGTGAGAAAAACAAGGAAGGCTCTGTGTAATCAGATCCTGGGTGGATTTGAACAACTGGTGATGGATCACAATGGTGAGACCTTACAGTCCACTGGAGGGTCAGGTATTTACATCCAAAGGTTGACTTTGCTCCACAAAGTCCTCTTCAGGAAAAATAAGCCAAGCAGAGCTATGATTATTTGTTTTCACGTCACCTCAAAATAAGGTACATCCTAAAAGGTCACTGAAAGATATCCACATTTCATCAGTAAGATGAGTAGTAATTAATCTTTGAGGTGCATCCCCAAAATTGGTGTAAACAAGGATTCATTTCATTAGAACTATATGCTTTCATGTTGTGATTTGTGAAGATTAGTTATTTGATTAACTGGAAATTCTCACATGTGCCTTTTGACCTTGACTCCATTAATACAAATCTGTCAAGAAAGAAATCATCAACTATGAAATTATCTTGTTATATGGATCCATAAGAAATTTGGGGAAAGAGTGATTTACATGGATTGGATAACAAAAACCCTGTTAAACGGTCAATACACACTTCCACAAGTTTTCATCAGCCACCCAAAGCATCGTTTTATATTATATCCCAACTGACACATTGTTTTGGAATACAGGCTCCCAACTTTTAGTACATCACAGCTGTTATAAGAATTTGGTTAAATACCAGGGTGTGGATTTGTTGGTTTTGGAAATTATCGTGTTTTTCTTTTCTGATTCTATTCATCATCTGTTCGACATTTTCTGTTAAGCTTAAATAGAAAATAATTATAGCTGGACCATTTTGCAGAACACAATTACTTGAGTGATTTGTGCATGACCCAGATCAAATCATATTTTTAAAACATAATAACTGCTTACAGCAAAATCCTGACATAGACTATTTAGAGTATAAGATGCTGTAATTAGTAGGTATTAAGTGAACATTCAGAACTTCTGTTTTATTTAACTTATGGGCAAAGTGGACAGTTTAAGAAATGCTACTCTAGCTGTCATTATTTTTGAACATCACAGGTTTAAAACAAAAATTGCTTTCAATCTTTGAATGTGGAATAATTATTTCAGAGAAATGAATGCATGACTAATATCTCTTCATGTTAAAGCAACGTGCTTTTTGGAGTCCTGTTTTATTGATAGCAAATAAAGTTTATGTCTTTGATTCTATATTTATTTAACATGCTATTTCAATAAATATCACTTAAATTAAATTTAAGAAAGCTCTTTTCTTTTCCATCTCCAAAAGTGGTTTGGAAACTTGGTTACCATGAATTGGTGGAACAATATCTGGCTCAATGAAGGTTTTGCAACTTATTTTGAGTTTGAAGTAGTTAGCCACTTCAATTCTGAACTCCCAGGAGTAAGTATGTCTATTAAATTTATTTATAATTTTTTCTCCTACTTATAAAAGTAATACATATTCATTGTTGAAAATGTGTAAACTATAGAAAAATACAAGGAATACTACATTATCTGTAATACCAGAGATGATCAGGGTTATCTTTTTAATGTGTTTTCTCTTTCCAGGCTTACTTATTGTAAATATTCATAAAAGTGGGAATTACACAGATATGTATAATGCCTTTTCTACTTCATATTATACCAAAATCATTTCCACAAATCATTAATTATTTTTGAAAACAAGATTTTTAAGGATTGCCTATTACTTTATTATATAACCTTATAAGGTATATGTATATAATCTTTTCCTATTGTTTGATTTTAGGTTATTTTCACTTATTCCTACCTAACCTAAATTTTAAAGCAGTTGTAATAGTGGTCTATGACTTTAATGATAAGTAACATGCTACATTATATATTTTAAATATTCTATATAATTTTACATATAATATAGCTGATATATATAATATTAATAACTGACATTTATATATTATATTATTTTGCTATTTTGAATAAATAGTAATGTGAAAAAAAGGATAAGTTTATGGGCATGCAATTCTGATGATTTCAACTGTAAGTTATATTTCTGATAAGTTATTTAGAGTAATTAGGTAGTGCTTTCAGGATGGCATGATAAAGCCAAGTTGATTTTATTTGATTGAGATGTTTAAGTGTTTAGATTTAATATCATCCTTTGGCCCAGACCTCACTTCTTTGTAACAAGCCAGCTGTCCTTTCTTCCCTCTGTTTCTGCCTCCTGCCGTCTGCCTGGTGCTCAGGGTTGCTCTTCCTGCTGCTCTTCGCCAGCCTCTCTCATCTCCCCTCCCAAATGTCTCCCAGGCTGGATGCTTGGCCTCTTTTGCCCTTTCCCTACCCTCACTCACTTAAAGAGTGTCTTGTTATGTAAAATGTTGAACTCCACTGACCCACTCTTCCTTACAGGCTAAATTTATCCACTTTGAAGGAGATTGTAAAGATTATGTTCTATTATGTTGGTAATAAAATTTGCCCTTTAAAATGAAAGGATGGTGATGGTTGATAGATACTTGGTTTCTGTTGGTTAAAAGGATGGTAGAATTAAAAGTTGACAGGCCTATCTTGGCCTCAGAGAACTTAAAAAAATTTTTTTCATCTGTTTGTGAAATCACAGTTTCTGGGAAGCAATGATGTGGTAGCCTCTGACTGTCCCAGCTCCACGCCACCCACCCTGGCCCTTGCGGGCACCCTATAAAAGGCCCACCACCCTGCAGCCCAGCGGCTCCACTGCCTCTGCTCTTCCTCCCTCGGATCGGACTCATTATATAGATCAGCAGAGTGAAGTATCCAAAGGTTAAGTGACTTCCCAAGTTAATTTCCCAGACTGGGCCAGAACTGTGATTCTAACCCACTTGTCTGGATCCGCTCTGATGAGGAGGGTAATGATGACAGTAACAATAATGTGGTATTTGCCATTCACTCAGCACTTAGGACAAGTGCCGGGTAGTGTGAGTTCTACACACACATCATCCTACTCAGGCCTCAAAACAATCATCTGAATATAGTTGTTATTTTTTCTATTTTATAGTTGAGGAAACAGGCATCGAAGCATTAAGTAAATTGTGCAAGGCTTCGGCAGAGTTATAAAATATCAAAGATAAGATTCAATTCCAGGTTTCTCTGACTGCAAAGCCCATGCCTTTAGTCACCGTGCTCTGCAGAGAAAGCCTCTGGAGTGTTCTTGTTCTCAAGGAGCTAGTGTGTGTGTGTGTGTGTGTGTGTGTGTGTGTGTGTGTGTGTGACTCTTTTCATATATATAAACTTCATATACATATAGTAAATCTGAGTTTTCTTCAAAAGCCCTTTCCATATATTCTATACCTCTGTGCTTAGAGTCAATAAGGAAAGAAATTCCATTCCCATGAAACAATTAGATTTACCTTCTATGTTCTTTTTTTAAAAAAAATATTATTTTTCAATTACAGTTTACATTCAGTATTATTTGTTATCAATTTTAGATGTACAGCATAGTGGTTAGACAATCATATACTTTATAAAGTATTCTCCCCCAATATTTTCAGTACCCACCTGGCACCATACATAGTTATTACTATATTATCGACTATATTCCCTATGCTGTACTTTACATTCCTGTGACTGTTTTGAAACTACCAATTTGTACCTCTTCATGCCTTCACCTTTTTCACCTAGCCCCCAACTCCCTCCCCTTTGGTAACTATCAGTCTGTTCTCTGTATCTATAAGACTATTTCAATTTTGCTCATTTGTTTATTTTGTTATTTAGATTCCACATATAAGTGAAACCATCTGGTATTTGTCTTTCTCTAACTGACTTATTTCACTTAGCATAATGCCTTCTAGTTTCATCCATGCTGTTGCAAATGGTAAGATTTCATTCTTTTTATGGCCCAGTAATATTCCATTGTATATATATACCACTACTTTTTTATCTACTCATCTATTGATGGGCGCTTGGGTTGCTTACGTATTTTGGCTATTGTAAATAGTGCTGCAATGAACTTAGCAGTGCATATATTCCTTCAAATTAGTGTTTACAATTTTTTTCAGGTATATTTCCAGAAGTAGAATTGCTGCATCATAAGGCAATTCTATTTTTAATTTTTTGTTGTTGAGGAAACTCCATACTATTTTTCATAGTGGCTATACCAATTTACATTCCCACCAACAGTGCACAAGGGTTCCCTTTTCTCTACATATCCTTGCCAAAACTTGTTGTTTGTTGATTTATTGATAATAGCCATTTTAACAGATATGAGGTGATATCTCATTGTGGTTTTAATTTGTGTCTCTCTGATAATTAGTGACGTTGAGCATCTTTTCATATGTGTATTGGCCATCTGTATGTCTTCGTTGGAGAAGTATCTATTCAGGTTTTCTGCCCATTTTTTAACTTTACCCTCTATGTTCTTTTTTGGGGGGGGTTCCTATTTTTTTTACCATAATTTTAAAAAAATTTATCTTTATTGTTGAAGTATTTCAGCTGTCCCATTTTTTCCCCAGTGACTCCCCTCCATCCCTCAGCCACCCCCCAGGCCTTCACCACACTCTTATCTGTGTCCATGGGTTTTATTTATATGCATATAAGTTCTTTAGTTAATCTCTTCCCACCCCTCATCCCCCCCTTGCCTCAGAGATTTGTCAGTCCCTTCCATGCTTCTATGTCTCTGGATCTATTTTGTTCATCAGTTTATTTTGTTCATTAGATTCCACATATGAGTGAGATCATGTGATCCTCCACATGTTTGAATGTTTTTGAGGGTTTTTATTGTAGTTGATTTCTAATTTCATGCCATAGTGATCCAAGAAGATGCTTGATATGATATCAATCTTCTTGAACTTGTAGAGACTTGTTTTGTGTTCTAACATGTGGTCCATCTTTGAGAATGATCCATGTGTAGTTGAGAACAATGTATATTCTGCAGCTTCGGGGTGGAATGTTCTGTAAATGTCAATTAAATCCATCTGACCTAGTGTGCCATTTAGAGTCACTGTTTCCTTGTTGTTTTTTTGTCTGGAAGGTCTATCCAATGAAGTCAGTGGGGTGTTAAAAAGCCCCCTACTATGACTGTATTGCTGTCGATCTCTCTCTGAAAGTCCTCCAGAAGTTTTTTTTTAAATATACTTAGGTGCTCCTGTATTGGGTGCATATATGTTTACCAGAGTTATATCCTCTTGTTGGATAGATTCCTTTAGTATTATGTAGTGACCTTTCTTGTCTCTTATTATGGTCTTCATTTTGAAGTCTATTTTGTCAGATATGAATATTGCTACCCCAGCTTTCTTTTTTCACTTCCTTTTGCATGGAAAAATTTTTTTCCATCCCTTCACTCTCATCTTGTGTGAGTATTTTGTTCTGAGGTGGGTCTCTAGCAGACAGCATATATTTGGGTCTAATCCATTCAGCTACTCTATGTCTTTTAATTGGAACATTTAATCCACTTATATTTAAGGTTATTATTGCTAGATACTTATTTATTGCCATTTTAATTCTTTATGCCTATGTTTTTCTCCATATATATTTCTTCTTATTACAGCAGTCCCTTTAATATTTCTTGCAATGCTTGTTTGGTGGTGATAAACCCCTTTAGCCTTTATTTGTCTGGGAAGCTCTTTATTTCACCATCTATTTTGAATGAGAGCCTTGCTGAATAGAGTAGTCTTGGTTTCAGATCCTTGCTTTTCATTACCTTGAATACTTCATGCCATTCCTTCTGGCCTGTAGTAGAGTTTCTGTTGAGAAATTGCTGAGGTCTTATGAGTACTCCTTTATAGGTAACAAATTTCTCTTGCTGCCTTTAAGATCCTCTCTTTGTCTTGAATTTTTGGCATTTTAATTATTATCTGCCTGGGCATGGGCCTCTTTGAGTTCCTCTTGCTTGGGCCTCTCTGCCTCCTGAACTTGTATGACTTTTTCCTTCACCAGGTTAAGGATGTTTTCTGCCATTATTTCTTCAAAGAGGTTCTCTAGTCCTTGCTCACTTTCTTCTCCTGTCATTCCTATGATGTGGGTATTATTACGTTTCATGTTGTCCCACAGTGCCCTTAAACGGTCCTCCTGTTTTTAATTTTTTTTTCTTTTTGGTTCTCTGATTGAATGATTTTTTTCTATCCCGTCATTAATTCTCAGATCTGATCCTTAACTTCCTCTAATATACTGTCTATTCCTTCCAATGCATTCTTTATTTCTACTATGTCATTCTCCATTTACAAGTTATTCTTTTTCATTGTTTCTCTATCTTTTTTCATGCTGTTGAGCATCCTTATAATCATTACTCTGAACTCCATATCTGATAAATTGCTTATCTCCATTTAGCTCTTCTAGAGAATTCTCTTGTTCTTTCATTTGGGGCTTGTTTCTTTTTTTCCCCATTTTGGCTGACTGTTTGGGTTTGTTTATACGTATTAGGTAGATCTTCTATGACTCCCAGTCTAGAAAACTTGATGAAAACATATTACTGGTGTTTTTGAAGCTCAGATGGTAAGATTAGCCTCTTTTGGTACCATTTAGTTATTTTTTTCATCATTGGTTCTTAATCACTTTTTTCTGAGTCTACGTTTCTTAGTTGCTTATGGAATCAAGTGAATATAACCCTTTCTAGAAGAGCATCACATCCTGGCACGAGAAAATTACTATAAGCTTTGTTTTTTAAAAACTTAAGGCCTTATTTCAGTGATCTTTGAGAGATCATAGACTTCTAATCTCGTTGTTAGATTGAAATTGAGTATAAAAATAGAGAACCATATGCAGAAATAGAACTCTTGAGTGTTAAACTAGTAAAACCTATACTTAATGAATAAAATCAGAGTTATATAGATATCTCCCCTAAATTTTTGTTACTCAAAGTATGACTCTTGAATTAGCAAAGTCATCATCATCTGGTGGTTTGTTAAAAATATAGGCCCCAACGCAGACCAATTGAATTAGAATATGAGTTTGACAAAATCCCCAGGTAATATTTATTGACATTAAAGATTGTCTTTATTGACATGCATTGCCCTAAATGACAGGCTTTCTCAGAGTTTGATCACAGCCTAATCAACGCTACTAATAAATCTAAAAGTAATTTGCTAATAGGAGAGGGTTGATTGGAACATTGGCCAATGGAAGCCGGACAGAATTTGAAAGTTTATCTGACACTGTGCAGGGGTGAGAGAGTCATTGTGGGAACCCTCTGAGAGAGGCTTCATGTGGATTATCAAGGACTCTCCCTGCTCTCCAGGGTATGAGCGAGCCTGCAGCTTTTCCACTGCCCTTTCTTTGGCTTGTCCACCCCACGCACCTCTTGGCTATGCTTTGCTAATCCTTCTAGCGTTCCTTCAGAAAGAAATGACCCTTGTTATGGGTCATAGAGATCTAGTTCTTTGCAGAGGTCTGTACTTCTCATTAAAATATAACAAATTGCCTTCTTCTAATGCATGAGCTATATATAAGCTGTTGTATCCAGTCTGTGGATTTATTTCCAATTATAAATTATTACATCAGCATCCTTGTGAATTTATAAATATGGCATGCTTTTGGTTTATAAATGTCCATGTGAGAGAGACTGATTGATTTTAAGCATTGCTATTAGTAATTAAATTAATATTAGATTATTAAAATGATATATAAAATTCTAGAGGATTAAAACCACAGAGATGCTATTCCCCCAGGAATCTTTAGGGGAAATATGTATGGCTCTCTTAGAAATCACATTAATTTTTGTAATTGATTTTTAAAAAATTGGAATTAAAAAGTACACCAAATGGGAAGGAAAGTATTCTAGAGTTTTATTATTCAAAGAACCCTGACTTACTTGGCATATTGCAGCTCACAGGGCACTTCTTAGTTATTGTTGGTTTTTTCCCCCTCTTTAATGTCAGTTTTTTAACATATTTTGGTAACATTAAATTTTGTGTTTCTGTGACACCTCAGAACTTAATGCGACTCCATCTTTTCCTTTTAGAATGAGATCTTTTTTTTTAATGTTTTATATGATGTTCTCAGAGAAGATCACACCCTCGTGTCTAGAGCTGTATCCTTGAAGATGGAAAATTTCAAAGAAATGAATGAAATAAATGAGCTCTTTGACATATTTATTTACAATAAGGTAAAACAGTCATACATTTCCTTTTGTTTTACACTCTTGCAGAAAATTGCATAAAATGGATTCTAAGTATCGTAGGCTAATATGCTGCTGTACAATTTTTGATACAAATAGCCCTAATATTATTCAGTAGAAAGATTTCAGAAAATGTAATTAAATCGATTATTATCTAGTAAATATTAATCAAGCCCATATTAGGTGCTTAGTACCATCTACCATTATAAATAGACTTAGACACTTGCTACTTTTAAGGTAAACCTTTCTGTTTGGTACAAATTTATTCTTGCCATGTAAATATATCTTAAAACATTTTGTGTACCCTGAACTCTTTCTAGGTAGGACATTAGCTCACCTTTTACCTGTTAATTAGTGACAGTCTACGATTTTATTAAAATGTTTTGGAATAACTGAAACATTCAACTAAAGTGCACAATACAATCGGGAACACAGGCCAGAATAATGCTTATCAAAACAGAATGAATCAGGATTTAAATATTGAATTTTTTTCAAATCATGGACAGCTTCTTATGTCTTAGGGAGCGTCTTTGGCCCGGATGCTTTCTAGCTTCCTGAATGAGAATTTATTTATCAGCGCACTTAAGGTGAGTTTACATAATTGTTTGCTGGAAGGCAGTAAACATAAATTGCTTTGGGATGTGATTTATTCTAACCTTAACTTCTCTATTTTTACAGTCGTATCTGAAGACATTTTCTTACGCAAATGCTGAGCAAGATGATCTATGGAGGCATTTTCAAATGGTATTGTCCTACTTCCTCACATGCTTCTGCTGAGTTGTTCTCAGTGATAGAGTTCAACAAGATGGCCATGCCTACATGGCAATGCCACAGGAAAACAGTTTTGCCTTGTTTGTGAAACTCCCTTAGGTTGGGGCTGTTTCCTTAGTCTTCACTACTATATTCTCAGGGCCAGAACAGAGCCTGCACATATTAGATCTAAAAATATGTGTTCAGTGAATGAATGAATGAATGAATGAATGAATGAATGAATGAATGAATGAACGAACAAACTAAGGTACCATTCAGTTATGGAATTGGACAGAGTTCTGAATTTGGCCCAAGATATCAACCACTGGGAATTACTGTAGAGAGTAGTTACGCATTTTCTTTAGGAGATTTCTACCTCAAAATATTTTGATGATAAATATCTGCTTTTGTGATGACTTTTTAATACAGGCCGTAGATGACCAGAGTAAAATTGTTTTGCCGGCAACAGTCAAAAGTATAATGGACAGCTGGACACACCAGAGTGGTTTTCCAGTTATCACCTTAAATGTATCTACTGGTGTCATGAAACAGGAGCCATTTTATCTTGGAAAGGTTAAAAATCAGACTCTTCTAACCCACAAGTAGGTAGATTTGCTTCTCTGTCTTTACCTTCCTTGGGGTTGAGTTCCGATCAAATGGAAACCAGCCTGTGGGTGAGGAAGCATAACCCCTGCTGGCTATACACCCTTTTGCAGAGTGACTCTGGGATGGTGACTTAGGACTCCATGCAGGATGTTACTGAGGTGCTAGGAAGAGGTAGAGCCCCTGATGTCCTGAGACAGGCCAAAGATCTGCATTGAAGGATTCAAGGCAGTGCCCTCCCCCACACCAGTGACCAAAGCTTTGGGTGTTTTGTATACCTTTTTTTGTCCTTCAGACAGAAATAATGAATTACTCAGGATTCTGGGTGGTAGGCAATACACTAGAGCCGTGGATGACCTCATGCTAGTTAAGAGAAAAGGAAATCCTAGTATAAGGTTGTCTTCTCTTCCCTAGAAACAGTACCAAATGGTAACTATGTCTGAGGAATAGTTCTGTGCATGTCTACACAGGCATGTATATGTGTATTCATAGCCATACCTATAATATTAGAATTATGACCTTTACATATTACTGTTAGACCTAAGTTCAAATATTGAATTCACTAAAATTCAAACCTTAGGTAAGTCTTATTTAAAATCACCGAGTTTCAGTTGCCTGAGCTATAAAGTAAATATAATAACGTGTCCCAGGAGATTGTTGTAAAAATGAAATGAAATAATGAGTATAAAGTGGCTTGGCATTCATCACTTTCTCCTTGCCTTCTCTTGTATTTCTTAATTTGTTAGATAATTTTCAATGTTTTTCATAAAGTTTTGATCCTCACATCTCATCGTAGTATGAGATGGGTACTTAATTTTTAAATACCACCACCAAAATTTTCAGGTCCTCCTACCCTTTCTTTAAAACCCCAGGGGAGAGGAATGAGAGACCTACAGGTCTCTTCTCTGTGATATTCTTTTGAGAAGAGGAATGCCTTAGCAATCAGGTAAAACACAGACCCTCAGTTTAATGCCCTTGAGAACCCAGACCTGTGAGCATTTGAGCAAGATTGAAATATTGCTCCAACTCCGAGTAGCCTGTCCCTTCACATGACTTATGTCCTCCTTGTGGTCAGCTACTTCATCCCGGTCATGTCCACCAATGCGGGAAGGGGGCCAGCATTCAGGAATGTGAATAATCTGGCTGATTCGTGCTGAATATTTTTCAGATGGGAAGAGAGCTTGACGCAGAAAAATATTTTGAAATGTTTGCCAAGTTTCAGATACAAGATAGTCTTAGTAGCTACCTTAAGTTATGAGAAGTAAGTCTATGAGTTACAACAAGAGAGAGTAAACAAATAGCTAAAGCAAAACTGGCTTGTAAAAACAATGGTGAATAGTAAGAGCCAAGGCCCACATATCCAGAGGGAGTGAGAAAAGATTTTCTAGTTCTTTCTGTCATTTTATCATCTCATTTAATATTGTCTCAGTGCTTACATTCTTACGTGTGAAAATTAACTGAATTGAAATCTTTTTTCAATAAGTGACACATGGATTGTACCTATTCTTTGGATGAAAAATGGAACTACACAGCCTTTAGTCTGGCTAGATAACAGCAGCAGTAAGTAACAAATTTTTTAAATATTTTCACACATATACATGAATATATGTTATATAAAGACAGAATAAAAATTTGAATTATTTAGCTTTTAAGCAGCTATCTTGTTTAAAACGAAAGTATTATATCATTCCTGTTGAACATAGAGAGTTTCAAATCAAAAGCTATTAATGTGAAAAAATATAGTTATATGTTAAGATCAATATATATTTTTTAGAATTCCTTTAATTTTTGTTTCATTGGGTTTATTGTTTAGAATTAAGGGAATATAATATAAACATATATTGAAATGTTTTTCAAATGTACCATTTCAAACATTTCACATATTCCTTTGCAGAATTATTCCCTGAAATGCAAGTTTCAGATTCTGATCATGACTGGGTGATTTTAAATTTGAATATGACTGGATATTATAGAGTTAACTATGATAAATTAGGTTGGAAGAAATTAAATGAACAGCTTGAAAAAGATCCTAAGGTAAGATTATTTTTTATATCTTTTATTAAATATCATTAATATTGCTCTCTCTAGCCTTTCAGAGTTGAACTTTCATGCACCTGTCTGGTGGGAAGAGACCCTCCCCTCTTTTCTTATTCTTAGAAAGGGGAGATTTTGGTTGAATGCATTGTATTTTTGAACATTAATCTCACTTTTTCACAACAACTTTACCTTTCTAGGTAAAAATAAGAATACATTTCCCTATTAACCGTTAGTTTTGTGATCTTAGGCAAGTTATTGAAATATTCTGATTTCATTTCTTCACTTTAAAATGTAAATAATATTATACATTTCTTATTTATCATGAGGATAGAGATGATGTAGGTAAACATACACTTAAACTGTCTAAGTCCATAATAGATGTGCAGTACATGCCAGAAAATGTTAATTTTCTAAAAAATTATATTCTCACTCTTCCTCGGAGGGGAGAATTTAATCCTCAGAATTAATAATAATCCAATATCACTTTAAATTGTGAAACAACTTTAGGTCATTATGCAATATGTAAATATTAAAATGTTGGCTAACTGTAATCAGTTAGATTTTAATTGGTTAATTAAACCAAATCTCCATTGGTGGAGATGGATGCTGGCTTAGAAGTCTGTAGAGTTGGCTCAGTTGAGAAACCTTAGGCAGTTCATTGAGACTCCCTTTGTAAAACCAGTGTTGAAGTAAAAAAAATCTTAGATGTCTCTCTCTCTTCGAAAGTTCTCGGAGACACACATGCAGAAGCTTCTCTACCAGAAGAGGCAATAAAGAACATTGGTCCAGACTTTGGGTTTGGGGTCAGGTAGATTTGTGTTTATATTTATATAGTTCATCATTTACCAGGTGTGTGACCTTAGGCCTCTTGTTTGGCCAGTCGTGCCTCAGTTTCCTTATCTCTATAATAATGGATATGACAAACCAACCTTAACGTGTTGTTGTGAAGATTAAATAAAGTGATGCATGTGTTATGTTTAACAGAGGTGACACAATTCAGGCATTCAGAACATGTTCAGTCTTTTTATTAAAAATTATAGTTGCGCTGTTGAATAAAGCTACAAATAACACCTATGATGATATTTTGTTTTAAAGATTTTTCAGAGTAGCTAAGTTCTTGTTCATTTTTAAGGGCGCTCTTAGCTATGGAAGCTTTAGGTCATGTCATGTCATTATAGCAATGATTTCTTGAAACCATTGTAGATTTACTCATTTAAAGACTGAAGTCAATTATTCCTACTCATGATTGGTGAGCAAATAAAAAATATTTCAATTATTAATCTGATCTAGAAAATATGTTAGTACTGCCAGAAAAGAAATGAGAGTACCACCAAGGAAAGAATTAAACTTGGCTTGTTCAGATGATCGAAGGGATGTAGTGAAGGTAGATTTTCTAGTGCCACATATATGAAAATGCCAGGAGGTGGTGAAGGAATACTGAGGGAGGCACTGGGCATCCTTAGGACACTAAAGCTGAGGCAGAGTCCTGTGTCCTGGCAATGCCAAGGAGCTCAAACAGAAGCCTAAGGAATTAGGCTGGCAACTGAGCCCTGCCTCCCATGATTGAAAGGGCTCTATTAATGGTATTGTGTCAAAGTAGTAAAATCTAAAAAGAGAGATACCATTTAAAATAATACTTCAATATTACCAAAATAGCGCCAAATAATATTTATTTAAGGCCTCCTATGCTGCAAAATCCCCCTGACAATAATTTGGACATTGTAATACCATTCTATGTATACTTTCCTTTTTGGAGGGGCCTTTTATACTTGGCTTCCTGCTCTTATTTTTTAACATGATGTTTTCAGGGAGAATTTTGGCAAAACTCTCTGCCTTATTTAAGCCTGGTGATTCATGTCCAGAGGGATCGTTTACCAAAAACAGATGTATAATCAATAAATTATGGGGGCTGCCCTTAGTATTTATCATTTCTCTGCACATGAGACAATTCCCATGAAAGTACTTTGTAAGCCGCAATGAGCTTTAAATGTTATTCTTTTAAAATTGTTTTTTAACTAAAGAAAAAAGTTCTCATTTTTTTCTGAACATCCTGGGGTCTAATTGCAGGCCATCCCCGTTATTCACAGACTGCAGTTGATAGATGACGCCTTTTCCCTGTCTAAGTGAGTATACTTTCTTCTCTCGCGGCTTTAGCGTGCACCTTGAGAACTTATCATCATGACCTTCATCCCCGTGAAGTTGGCCCCTTAGTATATCCAGGCCCTAACTTGTCAAGATTAGGATCCAATTCTGTGGTTGTGATGGAATTGTATTGCATAAAAGTTCCTGGAATATGCAGCAACCTGGATGAAACTTGAAGACACTATGCTAAGTGAAATAAGCCAGTCTCAAAAAGACAAGTACTCTAAGATCCTGCCTGTCCGAGGTACTTCGAGTAGTCAGAATCAGAAGGACGTGAAGCAGGATGGAGGGGCAAGGGGCACCTTACGGAACGGGCACAGAGCTACAGCTGCGCAGATGAGAGCGGTTAAGGAGATGGATGGTTGTGACGCTGCACACTGTTATGAGCGTATTTGATACCACTGAACGGTACACTGAGAAATGGTTGCAGTGGTAAACTGTATGTGTACTTTCTCACAATAAAAAAGGGAAAAAGACAGTTCAAAAAGTCCTATCAGGAAAGAGCAATACTGTCTATTACAATTACAAAGCCATAGAAAAAAATGCTTTTCACAACAGTTTGAGAGGAAAAATATGTTCTTTCTCAAGTCAAAACTTGGCTGTCAGATATCCAAAGTCCTATAAATTTTCAGTTAAATTAACTTCGGTGCAATAAGATTTAAACTGATTATGGAGAATTTTTTAAAGGGTTTTTTTAAAAAAGCAGCAGAGATGATTCAACTTTTTAAAAGGAAACCCTTAAGGGAAAAGTTTGGAAAGCATACAGTAGAGAAGATATAAATAGTAAACAGATAATAGTGTTTAAATATTTATAGGATTATTACAAAAAGTATAAATATCGTTATTTTTAAAGTATCAGTCAGGAATACAAATTTAGATAAACTACAAGTGATTCAGGCTTGCCTTTGTAATCTAGTAAATGTTAAAATGGATAAATTTTGGAAGATTGTTGGTGTCTTTATACTTTTCTGTGATATTGAGGGTTAAGGAAATAAAGTAGCTGACATCTAAAAAACGAGTTGCTGGAAATAAATAAACTATGAATTGAAATTTTGAAGTGATTTATGTTACCCAATGGTGATGGCTGTGGGCATAATTTTAATGCGATATGACCTGTATTTTTACATATTACAAAATTATTGATTTTACTTATATCATCTTTACCCAACATATGCAATATATAAAATATATAAAAGCTTCTGGTAAGTATTTAGCCAAGTAAATTAATATATGTTCAGAATTTAAATTTTCAGACAATAAAATTAAGGGTTATACCTAATAAATTACCTAGTGTGTTCCCTCTTTCTTGGCTTATATATTTCTTGAATGAATGTTTGCTTACTTTACCCTTCATTTCTTTACTACTTTCCCTTCTGTGACATGCAGCACACTTCCTTGCTCGCTACTTTGTTGAAACTCATCTCTGAGGTCACCATGACTTTAATACCACATCCTCCTGGAAACTTCTTCTTTGGCTTCCTGAGTCTCCAATATGCAAACCCGGTTCTCCTCACATATCTGACTTCTCCTGCTGCTGTGAGCATCCTCAAGACCAGTGATGGTCATGTTATTTTCTCCTGTCTTTCCTTTGGATAACACATGCATTTTTTAATTTCAGCGGTCCTTCTGTTATGTACATGTAATGTGCCTAGAAGGTAGAAGGCGCACAGTAAATGTTTGTGGAAGATATGTTGGTGACTTCTAAGTCTACATCTCTGCTTGTCTCTTCCTGTCTTTTGTTTATCCTGTGTGGTTTAAATTCAGCACCCGAGACATTGAACTTTATTTCTGTCTCTACATTGCTCCTGCTATCATTTGTTCTCTCTCTGTCAAAGGTACCACTATTCTTCCCATCACCCAAACTTGAAACATGAGAGATGTCCAGAACTCCCCCACATTTCCCAGATGGTCACCATGTCTTATCTCTTTGTTCTTGGGAAAGTCTTTTGGATTCTCACCTTGCTACTTTCACTGCTTCCATACTAAGCCAAGCTTTCGTCATCTTTTGCTTGGCCTTTTGCATTAGCTTCCGGCCTTCATTTCCTTTGAATTCCATTCTACCCTCTTCAGCACAATTGCAATAAAATTTTTAGGCATCAGTTTCCTGATGTTATGCAGTTGTCTAGACACCTTCCCACCACATGTGAGTTCTTCATCGTGACATTGCTGGCTCTCCACAGTTTTGATCCACCCCTCCGGTTAGGCCGCACCTCTCAGCTATACACAGAAGAAACCCTCTGCTTAGGTTAGCTGGTTCTGCCCATCCTATTAACTCCCATTTACCTTTGTCCTAAGCTGTCTTCCTCTTTTTTGCTACCCATTTCACTCCCTCCCATCCTTCACTGTTCTCAAATTCCTCCTCCAGGAGGCCTTTGCTGACTTTCCCATCACGTGCATATTTTCCTTCTTTGCTACTTTATTGTATTCGTTGCCTTTTTTGGGACCTTTTGTTAACAGCTACTTATGCATAAATCTCAGTTCCTGGCTGAAGTAATACGCTCCTCAATGGTAGGCAAGAGTATTGTCCTATATTCTAGTTTGTGCTGGCGGAACATTAGAGAATGACTTTTAATTAATATTTCTTGAATGGAAACTATACTCTCATTAGAACGCATACTAAGTGCACAAATATTCTTTTGCCCCATAATCAGGCCAATATTTGGCGTGGATTTTCTATAGCCTCCAGGAATTTGGATACTTGAACATACCAAATTGAAATGGAAGCTCGGTCAACATTGCTTGGTTCCCATGTCATCAATGAGATGGGACCTTTACCCTCTAGCTTCTTGATTTCACATACCTTATTGGAGTCAGGCATTGAAGCATGGAACAAATATGGAAAGTGTGCGAATCATTTAGCAAGTGAAGGTTTTTTAGTGTGTGTTTTTAAACCAAACAGAAACAATTATATTGAGATTGAAACAGCACTTGATTTAACCAAGTACCTTGCTGAAGAAGATGAAATCATAGTATGGCATACAGTCTTGGTGAACCTGCTACCCAGGAATTTTGTTTCTGATGTGGGCAACTATGATACATACACATTATTAAAGGTAATTTCATTCTTTGTATTGTGGTTTAAAAAAAAATCCATTCTTCCTCCTTCTATATTCTAAAGAGTATCTGGGAAACAGGCCTTTCCAAAAGTAATAGTCTATTATATTAGTTCCATACATATATTGATTTTTAAAGGAATGACTGATTATTCTTAAAAGAAAAAATACTTTAGTCATAAACCTGGTCTCGTAGATGAATATGATAGAAGTTTTGAAAGGCATTTAATCCTTCTGGAAGTGGCAGTGTGTCCTAAGAAACCAGAAGTGCGTAGAAATGGTATGCCTTTCTTCTTACAGAAAAAGATAGTATGTATTAGCAACTATTTTCCTAAAAGATTGTTCAACAGAATTACTTTGAACAATTATATATTCGTAATAGAAATACTCTGATTTACAAGGCCAGCACTTAAAACCAAAGAGATGTGTTCCGGAAGAAGTAAAAGTTTCAACGCTGCTCTTGATATTGCAAAGACAGAGGGGGGAGTTAGAATTAGAAAATGAAGAAATAACACGCCATCCTAACTGAAACAATATAAAAGGAGAAGCGTTCCATTAATAGGTTTTCAACAGTGATCATAAGAAAGATAGCACAGGTAAGATGAAAGCAAAAGTTAGGGAGCAACCCTTCGGAGACTTAAGGGCCACAAACAAATCCAGAAAGTAAGTTAGGTGGTGGTGATTCTAAGTGAGTCACTGGGGCAGTTTGAGGGAGAGATCGCAAATACCTCAGGGTCCCAGGCTTCCTTTTTCTCTACTGTCCAAAGTGCTGATGGGAACTTAACCTGAATGTGGGGATGGTGACCAATAGGAGGCACTAAAGTGTTTGCGGGGTGGAGGAGGCTCATTGATTACATCTGGTGGCTGGTTTGGGATAAATAAGTAAGAACTCATATTTGCTTTTAGAGAATTTCAAGGAATAACAGCTAGTTTATCCTCAGGAATGTATTGTAAATGTATAACTTTTATAATATTATTATTTACCAGCTGATAGCTCAATTGAAGAAACTTTATTTCAGACTCAGGCCTTAAATTTGTCTGAGGCATAAATCAGTCTTCCTTAGTATTTTCTTGAAGGTATATATATTAAACATGGAAATTTCAAGGTAGAAAGTTTAATAGTTTTAAATTTTTACTTTTTTCTTATTTTTGAAGACAACCAGAAATGGATGGGGTGATATTAGATAATAATAATTGATTTATGTGCAGGCAGGCTACTTACATACATTACATTGCTTAATCTTCACAAAAACTGTAATAATGGTATTACTGTAAACCCCATTTTTTTGTATGAGAAAACTGAACCTAGGGAAGTTAAAAAATAAACCAGTTACACATTACTAACAAGTAAAACTCATTTCTGAAGAAATATCTGTCATTATGAATGTTTTTTCAGAAAAAGAGAAATACAGTGCAAATTCAGTGTTGTAAGCCAGAACTAATAATATATTTTCTTTATTGTTTACAGAAGTATCTACTAAAGAGACTTACCCCAATATGGAATACTTATTCAACTATAATCCGTGAAAATATGGCAGCATTGCAAGATAGCTATTTAACTCTGTAAGTATTTTTTGAACAGTAATAATTGCATAAAATGACTCATCTTAATAAATAGGCTTCCAGATTTACATAATAAGATCTTAATACCTATGATTCACTGAGAGATTTTGTATGCTATTTTAGAACAGTAGCTTTGAGATTGGTGAGCTACTTGTATCCTAACAGGAAATAATAGTTTAGGATCTTCATTTACCTGCAATGCCCATATGTGTATACACAGGAATTTATAGGTCTATATTCTTAAATCTTAGGTTAAAGTTGTAAATATGTCATACTATTGGTGAAGGGTTGTGCTAAGCAAAGTCAGCCTATGCCAATGAGTTGAAGGACATGGGAAGGCCACAAGGGGAAAGGGCCCCCTCTGTATATCACAGGTGACAGAAATTCTGCGATTGTGCAAGTTTGATGAGAGAGGCTGACAGTGAAATATATCAGTCATTGCGTGTGATCATAAGTGTTACAACTGATTTGCACATCACTGGTTTGGTGAGGGGAGTAAGCATGCTGTCGTGATGATCTGGGAAGGAGGGGAAAGGCGAAATACAGCTGTGCTATTGCTGGGCCCCCGTGTGTATGTATGCTGGGCTTCCAGATTTAAGGAGGGAGTTTGTAATCAGCTATGGCCCAGGGGTTATATTTACAGCACTAGTCAAATCTAGTGAAAATCAATGAGACCAAACAAGAAATACAAAATATATAAAATGCGATTATTCTCCCTCACATGCATCCTTCTGCGAGAGGGGGAACTGTTAGTGCCAGGGCCTGTGACTGGAAAGACGTAGGGCTGAATGGACAATGAGATCAAAGACGGGGGACTAGCTGAGGTGGTAAGTGTGTCGGCACGTGTGAATAGAGGAAGGCCTAAGTGTGCTCAGCCAGGCGGCATGCCTGGTGACTAGCTCAGTGGACGGAAGCGAACTGCTTTTTGTAGCATCCCAAGCCCAGGTCTCTTCGGAGGGACCTTGCTGCAGCCAGCTTGGGGTGGGTGGGGGGAGAGAGTGTGAGTAATGAATGCTCAGAGCTGTCTCTCAGAGGGCCTCCACCCTTGGACATCCCACTTCTGCTTATTAGAAAATCAGGTCAAGCTGGGTTGAACCTAGAGGGTGGAGCAACAGAGATTTGGCTCTTGCATTTTCTGGAACCTTACAGCCGGTTTGAATTCCTTTACCTCTGACTCCAAACTTGGGGAGTGTAGGGAGATACACCTCAGGCACCACTTATTTGGATGTATCATTGTTCGTCACTGTATTCTTTTGAACCTACTTGATTTGAATCTTAATACACACCCCTTCAAAACCTTTATTCGTTTTCTGGCCATAAATACAATAACCAGGGGGAGCTAAAAAAGAAACAGAAGCTTAAGCAAGGGAAAAGCACATTGTCGAAGGAGAGAAATAAACCATTCCCTTTCCTTGCCGTGCATAAAGAACTTTCTTTTAGATCGAATACTCTAAAGCCATTTTTTATCCACAAGGCAATTATTATAAAAGGGAGGAAAAATAAATTGATAACAGATGTGGATTGTGTGTACACCATGTGTGATTGAGGGAGATGAAGGATGGCAGTAATTTATTTCTAACTTTTCAAAAAATGCCAGCTTATTTGGTGCGTGAGAGCCCCTCAGAAAACATTTCTCTGAATCTTAAACACTTTTGTTATTGACAAAAGCTTTTTTTTTTTAAACCTGATGTTATTGGAATGATGTTTTAAAATACCCATCCTTTTATGAGACATATTCTTGGAGGCAGAAAAAATAACGTGGTAATGCAAAATAAAATGTTTTTCTTTGACTTTTCCTTCAAGAATATCACTGGAAAAATTTCTGGGGACTGTATGTTTCTTGGGCCATGAGGACTGTCTTCAGCTGTCCAGAGAACTCTTCAAAAGCTGGATGAGCCATCCAGGAAATGAGTAAGAGTGCTATCGTAACTGCCCTGGTCTTTGTCCTGTTTCAACACCAGCAAGTCTGCTATGTTTTTGATGCTCTCACTCTGGGAGTGACTGTTTTGTTTTCACTTGGTTAATCTCTCTCTCCTAATATTTTTTTTCAAGTATCCCTTTGTTAAAAACAATTGTCTAATGTAGGTCTATGCATGGTAATAGGTTAGAGTGTATACAGTGATTGTCACCCAGGACTTACTGTCAGTGCATTCCCTGTAAGCATTTGCTGGTGCTTATTTTGAATCTTATCTAGGTTGTTCTTTATGTTCTTTATATATATGCATCAGAGCACCTTTTTCTATGTGAGTTTGCTGTCTCACTGAGAGCTGAGACTAAGAGTCTGTTATTTTGGTTTTATGACATTACCTCTAATATATCGCCTCCGAGGGACTTTTAGAAGATGTGATAGATAGTAAGATATAAAACCAAACTTATCAGCCTAGACTTACTGTTTGTACTATTCTAATGTACTTCTCCCTTAAACTCCTTAGTTTCTAAGCTGATTTGATGGTCTCATCTCATGAGAGTAATGCTACTGACAATTGCTTTTCTAGATCCCCACTTTAGATCTTTATACCTGAGATCTCAACATATTTTCCTAGATATACAGTTCTAAATCTGTGACCACCGAGATAAGCATATAACATAACTACTATGAGAAATATCATTGCATGTTATGCTTTACAGAATACCTTATCCAGTTAAAACTGTGATTTTATGTTATGGCGTTGCCTTGGGAACCGATAAAGAATGGGATTTTTTGTTAAATATCTACACTAATAACACAGAGGAAGAAGAAAGGAATCAACTTATTTATGCAATGGGCTGCAGTAAAGACCCATGGATACTTAACAGGTGATTATGGCCGATCTACCTTGAAAGTTCCGGTGGGAGAATACAATTAATGAACCAAAGGGGGAAGACAGAACTGTGCTAAGAGAAGAATTAATAAATATTTTTGCAACATTAACTTAGAATCATATAGGATTTTTATTCCATTTATTTAAATTACCTTTTTATATTGGATAATTTTTACTTATTTATTTCCTGCAAATGCATTTTTGCAGATATATGGACTATGCCATCACTACGTCTTTATTCAATTTGAGTGAAACAAATATAATCGACGTTGTGGCAGCATCTGAAGTTGGCCGGTATGTCGCAAAAGACTTTTTGGTCAACAATTGGCAAGCTGTGAGTGAGAGGTAAGCCGGAGATGTGAGACCACGCTTTCATTTAGGTCATGGATCGGTGCTAGAAGCACAGCTTTAGTCTGGCTGGGTCACAAGAGTCCTTTGCACTGACTAGAAAAGGGATGATTTTGCCTGCATTTGGTCTCACCACAAACTGGCTGTGTTGTGCAAGAGAAGGTCACTTATCCTCAGTTTTGGCTTTTAGACTGAAAATGGATTTGCATGGGATAGTTTTATACCACAATTTCCTCATTGTGCCTGCAAAGAAATTTGAAACACCCATTAGAGCAAGTCACATTTTTTTGGTATGCAGGTACATCAGCCATTCGTTTATTTTGTGAAGTCCATCACCATATCTTGATGAAACAATGGTGTTCATTGTTACGTCAGCCTGGATGTTGCTCAGGTGTTTTATTTGTCAGATTCCCTGTGTATACCTGGATTCCATAGTCTTGAACTTTTTTATGTTTCTCATCATTTAAGATTAGTCTGTTTGCTTCATAGCCCATCTATTAGGTAAAATATACATTGACATGCAAATATCAGACAGCATGCCCTGGATGGCTGGTCTTTCTAGAACATTACTTAACCATACATTCCTATAATCACATACTGTAGAGTTAGCAGATACAAAGTGGTCAACAGGGCAGGTCCAAACACCTGTCAAGTTGGAAGATACGTTGTATAAATAAGTTCTTTTGAAATAGAAAGTATATTTAGAATAAAAATGTTTAAGAATGTGAATATGGTTCTGTTAGAGAGCAAAATAATGGAATGGGGTAGGTTTTTTTGTTTGTTTGTTTGTGGACATTTATTGAACACCTTTATAATACCAAAAAATGTAATTTTAAGTCAGAAATTTAAAATGTGTAGATAAAACTTATTTGTACAATACCATTTACTGGCTTTTCAGTGGAATATACATAACCTACTCACATATTGAGAAAATAGTCTTTATCTCCTGCTTTAAATTACTTATCATTCTAGGTTTGGTGCTTCAAAGGGTCTTACAAGTTCCTTAAATTCCCTGGGATCCCTAAGACCTTGGGGGTAAATGATGTTTTCATTTTTGCTTAAGTCATTTAAGCTGTTGTTGGGGGATATAAAGTGATTAGAATATGGAGATGGAGAGGGGTTTGGGGATTGAAAGGGCAGAAAGGGAATTGAGTGAGATCTGAACAGGCAGAGTTGGAAAAAGTCACCTTCCACATGGAAGGACTGAAAGACTGACTTGCTACTAGTCACATCACTGGCTGAAGCTTAAAGCGCTGGAAGGGAGGAGACAGGGCTGGTCAAGTGATAGAGCTGAGCACACTGCCCATAGCAGTGGTTGTATGGTTAAGTAATGTTCTAGAAAGACCAGCCATCCAGGGAAAGCTGCTGTTCAGGAACATCTGCTCCCCTCGACCAGGCCCAGGACTCTCCTCAGGAAGCCCAACCTGAAAATATATTTTGGAATATTTGCTTGAGTAAAACATCTTCAGCATGGGATTCCTCTCACTCCCATGTGCAGGCACTGCCCTGGTCGCTGAGAGTAATTAGTTAACTGTTGGTCCAAAGATGATCCTTTAAACACTGATCTAAATGAAGGAACCTCCGCTGGCCATAGAGACAGCTTTCAGGTTAGAGGAAAATCAATACATGCACGCAGACATGGATAGATTCTATGGAAGAATGTGTGAATAGAGACGGAACAGTAGGGTTTTTGTGACTTTTTATTGTGGCGGGAATTATATTTGTGCCTTTATCATCCTTGTCAAGTTGCTTTTGACTTTCTTAACACAATGTGGGTTTCACCGCCTACAGGAACACCCTAGCTTTATTTGTATGGAACACAAGGTATAATCAGTTTCATGTTCAACTGGTCCAAAAATGGATCTTACTCTTTTCTTTACCAAACACTTGATTTCTCTTCCAAAGATTGTTACATTGCCTAAAGTCCTAAGCTTGAAACCTGCACTTATTTTCATTTCCACTCTGTTACAGTATTTTGTGATGGGGAGTGCAGAGTTGAAATGGGTACACAGGAGCACAGGGAGCTGAGTGAGCTGAGATGTGGTTGGAGTGGACCCATTCCCACCCCTGTCGCTGGAGTGGGCTGGAGGCCTCGGTGCCCCTCCGCTTGTGTAGTGGCCGTGCTCGCCGCAGGAAGTCAGACACGGCAGGGGAAGGGAGAGGAGGGGAGGAGAAGTGTGAGAAAGGCAAAAGGCAGAAGGCAAGCCGGACTAGAGGACCCATATCACTGCGTCCACACTAGCACTGAATGTTATTATTTTTAAAAGGGCAACTATATTGACACCCACTAGCTCTTGTCTTTATTTTAATTAGAATGCATTTAACTATTGGTGAGATAAAATATTTGTAAAGAATATATTTTTGTTCAGTAATATTTTAAAGAGATTGCTTTCTCAACAAGGGTGACAAATCCTCTGTCTCAAAAATATCTCCTCTTGAAGCTGGCAAGACCAAGGAGGAATGATGGGCACCGGGTACTCTGATAGATGTCTCAACATACATTATCTTATTTACTCTCCAGAACAACGCTTCTAACTATATGTTGTTCCCCATATTTGTGATTTATAAGTTGTTCAAGGTAATTTTAAACTGAGCCCTGCCACTTGGGGTAACCTTTCTCCTGGATCTGGTAGAAAATCACACATTTAGCACCCTAGGTAGTTTTCCACTTTTTTTCTTAAGGTTGGAACTTAGTTGCTTTGCAAATTTTGCCAAGTTTCTTGAGTCATCTCACAGGCTTTTTATACCTGGCCAATAAAAATGAAGAACTAAGAAATATTTCCACTTTCCCCATAGAAACAGGTTTGCTTGTCTGAATTACATGTAGACCATCTCTTGTCCTCCACTTCGCTCAAGTAAACACAGTTTACACTGTAGCCGGGAACTTTAAAAGAACAAAAGCACTGTTTTCTCCCACCCTTGTTTGTGTATTATGCCAACATTAACTCTTACAATTTTTAATTTCAAGTATACATTTTTAAAATAAATCAAGTGTGTGTATTAATTATCAAGGCAGTTCCACCATTTCTTGGTCAGTCCCTATTAACCCTATTTTAATTTTCTTTCTTTTTTAATGCATCCAAAAGTCTCTTTACTTTTTAACTACAGCACCACTTTGGGCAGGTACGTATCTGCTCTTTACAGCAACACTTCATGGCTTTTTTTTTTTTTTT